AGGCTCGGCGCCGACGTCGTCATTCACAGTATCTCCAAGTTTATTAGCGGTGGAGCTGACGTCATCGCAGGTACTCTTATTAACTCTACTGTGTTCTGTTCTTGTTTTAAAAAGCCGAAAATCAAATTATTGGTCAAATTTCAAAATTGAAAAATGTGTTTTTAATTTGTTTTTTTTAATGTATTTTATAAGTTTTATTAAGAAAAAAAAAAACTAAAAATCAAATGATTAAATATATGGATGAAAGTAGATACTAGACAAGAAGATAACAATAAAAATTAATTGGGACTAAAGTAGATATTTTGACTGTTTAAAAATTAAAAAATATATTTTATTTTATTTTAGTTGAGAGATTAAAATATATTTTTTCTATTTAGGTGTAAGTTTACAACAAACATAAAATATATGACATACTAAGATAATTTTTAATTTCTGTCCTTAATTTTTTAAAGATCTTTAATTTTATCCTAGTTAAGTTGAATGATGGTGATTATATGATATAGTTCAATTACCGTTGAGCTGTGCTCTTTTTGATTATGAATATGCTACTTAAATTATTAAAAAAGTGGAATATACTACCCATGACACATCAAATCCAATTTTTTTAACTCACCAATTAATAAAATCTATTTCTTTCCATTTATTTTCCAATTTATAATAATGACTTAACTTTTTTTTAATTTAATATATTAAAACTAAAATTGAGAATTTTAAAATATTAATAGTTTAGTACACAACTTTTGCAGCCTAACTTTGAAACATTGCCCTACCATTGGTATCTCCATCCCTATCCCAACGAAAGAACTTTTAGAAAAAGTGGGACACGTTTGAAAGACCACATGAATAATACGACAATGAGTCATAGGTCACGAGGCACCAACATCAACCACACACACACAACACATCATCACTCATCAGTACATCACACATATCCCCATCAATGTTTGTGAATCTTCGTTTACTTTTCCATTAGAGAAAACAAATGCCATATGGATGCGAGAAAAAGATTAAATATATCGTCGCTTATTAGCTTAAGCGCTTTTAAATCTTGTAGTGATTTAACATGGAATGACTTGGTGTGTAGGCGCTGTGTGCGGACCTGCAAAGTTGATAAACTCAATGATGGACTTGCGACAGGGGAGCCTAATGCTTTTGGGGCCAACAATGAATGCAAAGGTGGCGTTCGAGCTCTCGGAGAGGATTCCGCACTTGAGCTTGAGAATGAAGGAGCATTGTAGAAGAGCTGCAGAGTTTGCAGAGCGGATGAAGAAGGCAGGGTTGAAGGTCATATACCCAGGGCTACCAGACCACCCACAACACAAGTTAATGAAGAGGCTTGCAAACTCGGAGTATGGGTTCGGGGGGATGTTGTGCTTAGACATGGGAACTGAGGAAAGAGCCAACAGGCTCATGAGCGTGCTCCAAAACAACACCCAATTCGGGTTCATGGCAGTGAGTTTAGGGTACTATGAGACCCTTATGTCGTGCTCGGGTAGCAGCACGAGTAGTGAGATGAACAGGGAGGAGAAGCAACTGGCTGGGATCTCACCCGGACTCATAAGAATGTCCATTGGATATATGGGTACGTTCGAGCAAAAATGGAGCCAATTTGAGAAGGCTCTTGCTAAAGTGCAAGATATGGGCCTTCCATTTTGCAACAATAACTAATTTTAGTACAACAAATGTGAGGTGTGAGAATTTGAACATTCAACTTTAAAATGAGTTATATATATTTACTGCTAAACTAGGTTTATATTAGCAGTAAGCCTCCTCTTGTATCCAGAGTGCCTTCTGCTTCCTTTCTCCAGTTTCATTAGTTTAGTACTTTTGGACCGTGGACTTAGTTTCCTTTGGCCACTTAATGTATAAATTTGATTATGAATATGTTCTTTTCCTTCTTCATATGTTTCTAATATAATAAATGAATATTTGTCAAAAAAAAAAAACAACGTACCAATATCTCTTGGTTGAAAATATATGTCAATTATCATCATACTCGCTTTGACAATACACGAATTAAGTGGAAGGTTATGTTGTTATGATGTTTTAGTCTAATAATAATGTGTTAGACAATAGTCTGATATCTCTACAAATACAAATAAAAGTTTTGGTGTTTTTTCTTTAAATAAATAAACATTTAGATGATAGTAATTAGTCAAAACTCTCGCTAGAAAAAAATATAACTTAACATACGTTGTCAATCACCTCTAAGTTATATATTCATAATAATTTTTTTTAACCAATTAGAAAATGTGCTTTTAAAAATAAATTATCCTTTAATAATATAGTTGCTAGCCAATTAGAAAACACATAAATTTTTTTTTGAATATTTGTAAGTTTTTGTAAAATTATTATAATTTAATATATTTATCACAATTATTTTTATCCCTTTTTAAATGTAATTATAAATTTTAAAGGCTGGTAATTAACACCCGTCGCGAGAGAAGAGGTCATGATTTTGAAATTTGACACGTACTAAAAAATAAATTATAAATTTTAAAGTTGTAAATTTAAAATCTGAAATACCACGGAGGTAAAAAAAAAGAAGAAGTTATTTTCATAATTTTTACAATTTAAATCACATGATTCGAAATAAGGGAAATTAGGATTTTTGACCCCTTTCAATAACTACTATGGACTTTTGACCCCCTTTTGATTTTTACAGACTTTCTATCGCTTGCGCTTGCTTTTCACTCTCAAGACAACGGTCTCTCTCTTCTATAAATATAAAGCGAAGCAAAGCGCATGGCGCTGAAGTGAAGAAAGCTCAATAAACACAGACGAAGACGATGCAGGGCATAGCATAAATGAGACCGCTGATCATTTCATAAAACATATATGCTTGACCTTGATCGATGCTTTTTTTTGGGTGACTCACCAACCGACCCAGCAGTGATCGATGACAGAATGGTACGAACAAATCCAATGACTTGGATTTGGTAGTTCTCCATTTTCTTTTCTCTTTACCCCTTTTGATATCTTTCTA